ATGTTTGCTATCCGCTAGCCTCATACTTTTAATAAGCATTGACTTCAAAATTCAAACCTTAGTCTTGTAACTATAGTTGAAAAGAAAATTAAGCAAAGTTTAATACTATTGAACTGGAGGTGATCCCTCATTTTGACCATATAATACTGGCTAAGAAAGATTGTCATCTTAGTAGGATTTCTAGATATTTATGAAATAGTAATCTAATCATAACGAAAGCCGACAAAGGTGGAGCAATGGTAGTCATGGATAAGTCATGTTATCTAGAAAAAATTCTAGTTATTTAACTGGCAATGACACGTATAGACCTTGAATAAGAGACCCAACAGAAAGACTCAAGACTAGTCTAAAGGATGTCCATAAGGTATGCATAAGTAATGTTGAAATAGAGAAGTGAAAAATGAATTCACTACTCCAAAGAGATGCAAGGGTCTCCACGACTTACGGTCTCCCTAAGGTTCACAATGAGGGTGTCTCTTTAAGATTAGTTGTAAATAATAAAAGAAGCGTGATGTATAAAATCTCCCGGTTTTTATGCATACAACTAAGGAACTCTGCCAATTATTGGTTATATTCAGCCAAAAATTTGTAGGATTTTTTGAAATTGCTAGATCAACAGACAATTTCAGAAGAGGATAGGCTAGTAAGTTTTGACGTTGTCTATGTTCACAAACATTCCTGTCGAAGGTACTATCCAAGCTCTGATACAAACTCTGGAGGAACATCCAGAGATAACACAAAGAATAAGGCTTAGTGTAGCTTCCATTATTAGACTTATTAACCTATCCGTGAGTACCACAAATTTTACCTTTGATGGTAAATTATAAGAACAAACACAAGGATTAGCGATGGGATCTTGCCTGTCTTTCATCTTAGCGAATAATTATATGGCAAGACTGGAGGAACACTTCCTGCAAGAGGCAATACTAACCCCCAAATTGTTGGCTATATACATGGATGATTATTTTGTTATCTGGCCTTTTCGTAAGGAAAGTTTAGATAGTTTCCTACTTTAACTCAACCAACTTGAAAGGAACATTAGGTTCAGAATGGAAATGGAAGAGAATAGGTCCATACCCTTTCTGGATGTTCTTATAACTTGAGAAGAGGGTAGGTTAGGAAGAAATGTTTATGGTAAGCCAACAAATGTTGGCTCTGCTTAATTTTCTTTTCACCCATAGTTACAAGACAATGGTTGGAATTTTGAAGTCAATGCTTATTAGAAGTATGAGGCTAGCGGATAGCAAACAT